TTATTACTGATGCTGATTTATAAAGCAAGTAGATTCCTCAAAGCATGGATTCTTGGAATCTAGGTCTTCAGATCTAGATTTGAAATAAATGAACTTTGTTTTAAGCCTTGGCCTCTTATTTACTTTTGGGGTGCCCTTTTATTTTCCTGTTTGTCCATAAAATTAGACAATACAACCCAAGGTTGAATAGAGTCCACCATTGTACATCCTTTCACATTTCTCAAGATATAAATCAGGAAGAGACAAATTTTCAGTTTGGAAACCAATATGGAGAATGAGCATCAAAGGCAGCATAGTGCTATGGAGAGAAAAAGAGAACTAGCCTAGATTATAATAAAAATAGCTGCCATTTTGTTGAGCACGAACTTTGTGCCAGATATTGGTGCTCCAGATACTTCACGTGGGGTCCAGGCAATGATCCTGAAAGGTAAATATTATTACATCAGTTTTCAGATGCAGAAACAACCTCAGTGAGCCAAAGTTACTTGCCCAAAGCTAGTAGTGCAAAAAGGAGTGCAATAAAGATTCTAAACTAGGTCTAGGTACTCCCAAGTCCATGCAGTTTTAACTTATAACTAACAAGCTAATTTGGGGAAATATGCTTTGCCTCACTGGGCTAGTTTCTTTACCTATAAAACTCAGAAGGGAAGGAAATTATCATTTATGATTGCTTATCACACTGTAGGTAATGAGCTATGCACATCACATGCATGGTCTCATTTAATATGCTAATATTAGTCCCATCTTTATAATGAAGAGACAGAAGCCTTGGAGAGGTTAAGTAACACTAAGAACACAGTGAAGAGTGAAGTGGCAATGCAAGGATTCAAAAACGCAGCACTCTATTGAAGCGTGTTATAACATTGAGTGGTACTATAATTCTGAGTATATGGATACAATAAATGTTACTACAGTAGACTATCCAGCCACTTGGCAATAATTATTGCTCATGTAATAGTATATTTTCTCAACTAGAATCAAAATATTAAATTTTCTACTTTATTCTATTGTTGGTTTGCCTTTCATGTGGATAACATGGATCAAATTTGCAAAATCCAGCTTTGATCTAAATATAATTTTACTTGGTACTGTTTCAGGTATTTTTTAATCCACCTCACAGAGTCTTATAAAAATTTCCAAGAGAATATCTTAGTAACATGTGACATATGAAAACATATGTTACAAATATGGTATTAAGTGTCAAGAAAAAATAGGATTCATTTTATTCCTCTCTCTTCATAGGCATGTATGTGAGGGGAAAAAAACATATACAGATACATAGTCATGCACTGCATAATGACATTCCAGTCAACTATGGACCACACATAGTACAGTGGCGACATAGATTATAATACTGTATTTTTACTCTACATTTTCTATGTTTAGATATACAAATATATACTATTGCATTACGATTGCCTACAGTATTCAGAACAGTAATGTGCTGTACAGGTTTGTAGTCTAGGACCAATAGTCCATATACCATGTAGAGTAGTTGTGTAGTAGGCTATCCCATCTAGGTTTGCATAAGCACACTCTATGATGTTTGCATGATGAAATCGCCTAACGACACATTTCTCAGGATGGATCTCTGAGAAGTGAGTTATGTGTTATGTGTTGTTGTTATACAACACATAACTGTATATATAGCCTGACACACGCATATGGCATGATATGCATTAAAATAAATTTTTTGCAATTCATTTCATAGAAAGTAATAAAAAAAACCCTGATTTATCCTTGATTTTATAGAATTCACGCGCAAAGCTTATAAATTCTAAGATAATTGAAGATGTTAGTTAACTGTTGTAACCAAGCCATACCTTGTGAATGAATTTGCTATTTTAAAAATGAATTTAGATTTTGGTTATGAGTTCTCATCTTTTCACCAGGTATTGTTCTGTTAATATTGTTGCTTCCTAGTTAGCATTTTCCATATATAAATTTTACTTAATTTCTTTAGCAGAAAAGTATAAAGCCATTATAAAATAATAAATACTGGGACTGTTGTTGATTACACGTACTTTCTTGAACTTTTGCCTTAGGCCTCTGAGGAAACACTACATTCCAGTAATGAAGAGGAAGACCCTTTCCGAGGAATGGAACCTTATCTTGTACGGAGACTTTCATGCCGAAATATTCAGCTTCCCCCTCTCGCCTTCAGACAGTTGGAACAAGCTGACTTGAAAAGTGAATCAGAAAACATTCAAAGACCGACCAGCCTCCCCCTGAAGATTCTGCCTCTGATTGCTATCACTTCTGCAGACTCCAGTGGGTGAGTGTCTTCGGGTGTCATTTCCCCATTTTATGTTTTAGATGGTGATTGTTATCTGTGGCCTTTTCAGTTTTTGTGGCTCATTGCTTGATTTAAGTGGGAAGATAATGGGTTTTCTAGAGTCAAAAAAAGGATGGTTTTTCTCACGTAACATCTCTATCTCTGCAGAAGACACTTTAGTCAAATCGTTTGGACAGGAAAAGTCGAAAATATGTTGATGAAGGCTAAGGAGGGCAATTGTACTTGGCAAATTAGTATCATCCAGATGTGATTTAATAAAAAAATTCTAACAAATGAGAACTAATGGACAAATTACCGTGTTGGGATACATACCTGGAGACAAAAGGCAATGTTCATTGATGCACAATGAATTTAGAATCAAGAATAGATTGTGTTGTAATTAGAATCAAAATAAATATGCAATTATATTCATGAGCCTAGTAATTTGGCCTTTGACACTTTGAAGTGTTGCTTACCAGAATACTGTTTAAGCTCCCAATACAAGGTGATTTTATTTTGCATTAGTACTTATAAAAGAATCAACCACAACTGTGTCCCATCATGTAACATTTGTAGTTCCTAATTTCCAGAGTATAGTTTTTGTGTTTTTATTCTTTTTCCTGCTGTTTACCAATGAAGTTTTTGCTCTTTAATAGCAATGTCATCGGGTAAAAAATTGTGAAAGAAATTAAGGATAGTGGGCACATCCATTATTTGTTCTTTTGGCCAGCTGTGTTGTTAAGAGGCTTGGATAGAAAGGAAAGAGGGTAAAGCCAGTGGCTCATACACTGAGCATTTGCTACGACTACAAGAACAAAACAATTATTATGCTACAAATGTGATTCTTCCTCATTCTTGTCAAGTGAATGGCGTCTCTAGGGAAAGTACCTTTGGATTTTGCTAGAAGTTGTTAGGAAAGTTGTGCTCAGAGGAAATTTGGTTAGTAACTGAACTCTAAGATATTGAATTTAGCCATTTGAATTGTTACTGACGAGTCCAGGGGACCTGTGTTATTAAAAGGTATGAAGAGATTGCTACCAGGTAAATAGGAAGACAACAAATTCTTACCTTGAAGCGAAGGGAAGAGGAAATATGTATTTGTTGTCATTGTTGTTAAGCCATGTGTTTGCCTACCAAAGAAGAATGTGTACATGTTGATGAGACTCACTAAGGCAGGTAGGAATTTAGTAGGACAACTTGACCTATACATTCTTTGAAAAAATGCTAACCCCCTAAAACTATTTCCCCTGTCTTTGGGATCAACATTGCTGCTGTTCATCTGTGTAGAGGGCAGAATTCACAGATAGCAGGTGTATCTAGTGTTCTCAAGACCATGCCTAAGTTTAACAGTTTGCTAGGAGAGCTCCCAGAACTCAGCAAATAGTAATATTCATGGCTATGATTTATTATAGCAAAAGGATTCGAAGCAAAATCGGCAAAGGGAAAGACACATGGGGCAAAATCTGGAGGAAACCAGACACAGGCTTCCAAGAGTCCCCTCTGCAAGTGGAGTAAGACAGGATGCACTTAATTCCTCCAGCAATGAGTTGTGACAACACGTGTGAAAGGTGTTCATCAGGGACACTTTCTACTAGGGAAGCCTGTTCCTGTGAAAGACTCAGTGCCCAGAGCTTTTATTGAGGGCTGGTCACTTAAGTGCCCTCTGCCTGGGGTGTACTGAAATTCCAGACTTCTAGAAGGAAAGTAGGTTTTCAGCATACACCACATTATGTGCAAAAACAGTTTAGGCACCTTGAGCCACTGTTACCATTTAGGGGATGGTGGGACACCTTCTGAAATCCAAGTTCCCAGATGCTATCTAAGGGCCAACCTTTCAAATAGACCTTTCTAAATTTAATGGACACAGGCCTGATTAATTCTTTTCTATATACTAAGTTCATCTTAGAATCATAATCTTCCTTTCTTCACATTTGAGGAAGAAGAGATTATAATTAAAATTAAAATATATTAATTTTGGACTAATTTTGGTAACTAAATAAGATTTGTCCCTTCCAAGCTGGTGTTATATCACATGGCCTTAAAAGAAAATGATGCAGTATATTTAATACGTCTCTGTGTAGTTGTACAATGTGTCTAATTAAAAATGTCAGGTAAATGCTAAGCTTATTTAATTGAATCTGAATATGTTGGTAAAAACAAATAGTCTTCAAGTGCCAAGGAACTTCAAAGTTCAGAATTGTCTGTATCATAGCTGTTGGTTTAAAATTTGTTTCTTTCTAAAACAGAAATCTAAGAATTAAGTACAGCTCACCCTCAAACAGCACAGGTTTGAGCTGTGTGGGTCCACATATATGAGGATTGTTTTTAGCCAAACATGGATCAAAAGTACAGTATTTGGGGGATGCAGGTTCTGCTTAGCCCACCATAGGCTTTGAGTACATGCAGATTTTTGTATACATGGGGGCTACTGGAACCAATCACCTGAGTATAACAAGGGAAGATTGTATAAGCAATATTGTGCTTACTATTTATAAATTTATTCAATATTATGAAGGAAAATAATTCATTTTTTTCAGAGATGAAACAAGGGTGACTTTTTTCTACCAAAAATGCAGCTAAGAGAAACAAGGGATGAGAATGGCCAATCAACAAGAAACGAAGACTAAGGATGTATTATAGGCATTCTTATTACCTTAGGAAGTGAATATAATTTTGAATATTGAGGAATAGAAAATTCAGGAATATAATTTTCTGGAATGTCTAAGAATTGGAAGAAAAACAGAAGGTAAAGTTAGTGGTTACATTCTGTACCCATTTCAGTTAACCAAGAAACCCAGATTCCTTCACAGTGTCAGAAACTGCTAATGAGAAATTTAGATGATTTTAGCTAGGTTGTCCACAGCCAAGTTCCCTATTTAATTAAAGGTTAGTAGGCCCTCTGGTGCCACTGTCAACCTATTCTGAGACCTTAGCAATTGCAAGTCTTTGATACTGGAGGAGACTTTTCATGCCCTTTGGATTTATTTCCATTCTTTTATAACATCATGGCTTTTTGCTCTTTCTTCTGGTGTATCAGTACACCGGATTCTTACTCTGTCAAGTGGGTCTAGAGACTTGTTTCATCCCTTTAGAAAGTCACGATATGTCTCTGAGAGTAATTAGTTTCCAAAAAAGAACTTGGCCTGCGAAAGTAGGTTTTATGGATGACAGCCGTTTAGCTTCTCAGGAAGTACCTGGGTCAAGAGACTGAGTTCAAGGGAGCTTTTAGCCGTTAACACTTCCCATGTTTCTACTTCAAGTTTTTTCCCAAGCAAAATAAATGTGTTCAAATGGGTATTCTTTAACAAATCCCTGTGAGTATGCCTAAGTTGTTAGGTTGTGTGTGTTGTGATTTGGCAATCTTTAGAAACTTTAAATGAACACAAAACAGAATTGTTAAGACCCGGGATGCCAAGAGCCTTGAATTCATTCACCAGCTAGTTTCCCACATAGGGTGGGATCACTCAGGCTTCATGGTGTTTATTGGCCCTCTCTGAAGTAAAAGGGACAGCTATTAGTGGCTTGAAATATTATAAACTTGGCAAAGAAGTAATTTTGAATGTCATAGCATTCCATATTTCCCTCTTAAATAATTTTCTATCCATTTCTTCTTATAAAACCTTTTTATTAAGGTATAATTTGCATGCAATAAAATATGCAAACCTTAAGTATACATCTTGATAAATTTTTAATATTTGTATACACCCATGTAATCACCACCATATTTCCTGACTTCTCACTA